GTTTTAGATGTTTTTGTGATTGCGAGCCGGCTTCAAATGCACTTGGAATTAAGGATATCAAATCTTTCACTCTAAGTTCCTCACTGTCAATCGCACCACAGTGCAGCAATTAATGCTTCTACAGGTGGTCCTCAGCATAAAATAACCTTAAGTCTTTCCAAGAGTAAAGAAAAAATCGTCTTTCTTACCTTAAAATTTTCATTGTTGTTTCTGTAATGAGAGTAGAGGCAAAATTTTCTTTAAAATCAAAAAGCAAAACACGGTTGTCCTCACGCAACATGTAGCCGAGAACGCGCTTTCCTATACTGAACTTTCAACAATGAAAGAAGATTTTGGGGTGATTTATTGTTTGCCTGGTTATGTTCCGAAAATTAGAGCTGATGAGGGGTCAACATTGTCCTGCATCTATAAGTGCAACTAGTAGGACGGAAATTTTTTCATAATTCAACTTCAGCTATTACATTCAAATCACTTAGATGAAGATTTGAAATAGGTTATGGCTATACATTGTGGCCAGACGAGCTGTCTAGCAAGCTTACTTATTTATTTCACTCCATACCCAATTGTTGGAATCCCCGACCGAAGATGATAGATATTTGATTGGTTAGTGTTATATAATATATTAACAACAAAGACTAATAAGTCCTTGATTGCGTGTACGCTCTCCATCCAAAGCAATACAATCACAGAACCTCCAGTCCACTGCGACTCTTGCTTCGCCAATATGCAAATAAACTAAGCTTTCGTCATCCTTACTCTGCACAATAATCCTCTCGGGAATCCTTGTCGCTTCACAAGCTACAAAAGATCAAACTTTTTCCGCCAATGAAAGGGCGTGCTATCTTTTCAACCACTAAAGGACTAATTTCACCCTAATTATAGCAATGGCATAAGGCGAGCAAATTGTAGCTTTGCAGAACCTTGATTGAGAATTATACTTGTATGTACAATTTTCTATATGCTTGCATTGTATGTTTGTGTTGAGCATTTCGAAAATAACATATCATGCTAACACATATTATGGCATCTTTCCAGTAATTACATATTCTTTGAGTGGAAATGATGGAGTTATCTTGACTAAAAACAGTTCTACTTAATGATAACGTAATTCCAATACAGTTATACTGTAGCTTCTAAATTTTGCTTAATATGCCAATTACGGCAGCAAATATATTGCGCTAATGAAATAATAAGATACGAGGAGGTTATAACAGAGACTCCTATCTGTGTTGCATCAGAAAACAAAGTAGAACTAGGCACATTCCTCCTGTATATTCGTCCAAAGTCTTGGCGCAAAATTCTATGAAAAGACAAATGTTCCAAAATTGTGAATATCCAGTTTATGGCAACTTTCAAATAGCATATTACTTTCGAGGCTACCCCGTTGATCAAGACTCCAGCTTTTTTCAGTGTTCATAGTTATGCAATTCCATCTTTTTTATTTTTAGATGCCAGGAAATGCTACTGTCCAAATTATTCCATTACCTACACTGCTTACTGCAATGGCATTTTCCGCAGTAGGCATAGTTGGAAATGGATTGATTATCGTAGCTACTGTCACGTCTTCTAAATTAAGAAGTCGTTGCGGTATCTTGATTTGTTTACTGGCAATAGCAGATTTTGTCGTCGCTGCTTACCTGGTAACCCAAAAGTTTTGCAATCAAAGGTAAGGCACATCTTGCGACAAGAATCCGTTGCTTCAAGATTCATCTTCGCATACTATTGCTCAATGGATCTTACATCCATAGCAACGTTGAGTGCTACCTTCAAAGTATCTATGGTCTCTTTGCACTACATGTTCAAGCTGGGATGGGACTCTCAATTGGCATAGACAGACTTCTTGCTGTTGCATCGCCTATCAGGTTTGTTGCAATTATTAGCCCGTCTCTCATCGTTATTATTATTTTTGCCATTATCAAACCACATGTTTCCCGCTTCAAATTTTTTCTTCCACTGCTATTATGTTACTACTATTGGGTGTACAACTTAATTCGGTCCGTTTTTTTGCTTGAAAAACGCATTTATTTGAATCATAGAATGA